GAGCGAGCCAGTAGCTCCAACGTTTCTGGCAACGCCACTCGTGCCCCCAACACTGCTCCACAGGGTATCGAGTAGGCTGCGGCCAGTTGGCGCGGCGTGGTATGTATCCACGCATTATCAGAGCCGGCGTTGCAGCACGGCACGCTGCTTCGCCAACCTTTCGCACTTTCTTTTGCGTGACTGCGGGCGAAAAGCCGCGGCAGGTTTGAAGCCTGCCCATTTTGCATTCCCCGCACTTTTCTTCTCCGCCCTGCCTGTGGCCCCTCTTGTCGAGGGAGCTCTTTTGCAGGTGCTGCGGACCGTGTCCTGGTCGCGGCAGTGCGCTCGCCGAAGCGCGTGCGAGTTGCACTGGCTGCGGCACAAGCAATGTGCGCGGCTCTCGCTGAGTCCGGTAGCCCGTAGGGTAGTTCTGGATAGGTGAGTAGCCGTAGCCGTAGCTTAGGGCCGGTAGTTTGTACAGTGTGCCATTTGTACCATAGCTTTGCACTAGCAGCATAAAGACCTGCCCAGTACTCTGGAGCCTCGCCTGCCAGCACAAAGGTGAGCGCTCGCGGCTTGGGGTGGTTTAGGGTCGTAGAGGGCTGCTGTCGTCGTGCGTCCGTTTGGTAGTGCGGGCTGCCGCCCAAGCCGCATGCCAATGCTCATGATGTGCGGGCTCTACCAGGGTCGCACGCGACGCCCTCGCCCTACCCCATCTGCCGCGTTGCGGAAGTGCTTGATGCGCTATGAGCTCTTGGTGAGCCGGAAGCCTCGGCTGAGGGGCGAATGTGAGCAGGTCAAAGCATGCATGGTGTGCTTGCTTAGTGCTAGTGCAGCGTGTTGTTTTCCTTTGCATGTGTAGTTTTGCAATTCGTAACAATGCCAATGTTTTGGCTCAAGTACCGAGCTTGTGCCTTTGAGCACGGTAGTTTCGTACAGTAGCTCTTAGGTTGCTGTGCGGTCCGACCGGACGCACTCAGGCGTAGCTGCACAAGTGCTTGAACTCGCGAAGTCGTAAAACAGCGTGGCCGCGCTGTGATTGCATTGGTTTAGTGCAAGTCCAGTGCTGGTCGACTTCACAAGTAGTAGTAATATAATAAAGTAGTTTAGTACTTAATAATAAAATAATAAAGTAGTAAAGTAGTATATGTAGTAAAGTAGTATTTAAAGTAGTCAAGTAGTCAAGTAGTCAAGTAGTAAAGTAGTAAAGTAGTAAAGTAGTAAAGTAGTAAAGTAGTAAAGTAGTAAAGTAGTAAAGTAGTAAAGTAGTAAAGTAGTAAAGTAGTAAAGTAGTAAAGTAGTAAAGTAGTAGATGAATTAGAAGGAGTAGTATAGTAGTACTAGTAGTAATAGTAGTAGTAGTAGTAGTAGTAGTAGTAGTAGTAGTAGTAGTAGTAGTAGTAGTAGTATAGTAGTAGTAGTAGTAGTAGTAGTAGTAGTAGTAGTAGTAGTAGTAGTAGTAGTAGTAGTAGTAGTAGTAGTAGTAGTAGTAGTAGTAGTACTAGTAGTAGTAGCAGCAGTAGTATTAGTAGTAGTAGAAGTAGTAGTAGTAGTAATAGTAGTAGTAGTAGTAGCAGTAGTAGTGGTAGTAGTAGTAGTAGTACTAGTAGTAGTAGTAGTAGTAGTAGTAGTAGTAGTAGTAGTAGTAGTAGTAGTAGTAGTAGTAGTAGCGGTAGTAGTATAGTAGTATAGCAGTAGAAATAGTAGTAGTAGTAGTAGTAGTAGTAGCAGCAATTGTAAGTGCAAGTAGTAGTACTAGCACTAGTACTAGTAGTAGTAGCAGTAGTAGTATTAGTAGTAATAGTAGAAGTACTAGTAGTCGGAGTGGGATAGTACTAGTAGTACGAACAGCAGCAACAGCAGCAGTAGTAGTAGTGATAGTAGTAGTAGTAATATATATATGTATATATATATATATGCTATATATAAATTTTAATTATACATATATATATATATACATATATATATATACACATATATGTATGTAAGTATGTATGTATGTATGCTAGTTATATGTACAAAGACATGCTTTGTACTTTTCGTTGCTATAGATACAGAATACATTTGTTGCGTACTAGTAGTATATACAAGAAGATGTGTACGGATATATGCACATTATAATATGTCAATTACCTAAACAATGGAAGGAGAGCGAGAAGCCGCCAAAGCCAAGCGAGAAAGAGAAGAAGAAGAAGAAGCAGGCAAACCGCTCATGCCATCTGTTTGGTGTATGCACACATGGGTGGGGCATATGTGTGTGCAGCAGCAGTAACCGGCGCATGCTTGGCAGGCAAAGCAGTCCCCGGAGAAGACCAAGCCTGCCAACAAGAAGCCGGAGGGTGATGATGATGCCGACGAAAACACCAGTGACAACGATGACAAGCAGAAGAAAAAGAAGCTTGAGGCCGTGGAGGCTAAGAACCTCCAGGTCAACAGCTCGTCGCATCGCAAAGAGTGGATGCGGTTCAAGCGGTGGGAGAAGAGCAAGAAGCGCTTCCCAGCCAAGCTGCATGCTGCAGTTGCCACGCCGGAGCATGCTTGTTCAGTACCGCGCACGCATGTTTGTGCACGTGTGCATACACGCGCGATCATCCTGGCTCGCAGGACGGAAGGTTGCAACTGTTCAAAGATTTCGTCGAGTGCGACGGCGACACCAACGAAGTGGAACTTCGCTTCACCGCGCGCGTGGAAGACAAGCAGCAGAGCACGGTGAAGTGGGGATTTCGCTCTGAGAAATGGTTGCAGGATCAGCACGGCGAGCGGAAAGCAGAAAAACTCATGGCTAAGAAGAAGTCGCTGGGCCTGCTACTAGGTGGCATAGTAGATATACAACTTTGGATGTTGGGGCACACACACGCCTATATCAGTTTGTCCCAAATCTATGGAGTGCAGTCAGAGGACAATCCCGGATCCCGAGTTGGGGCCCGACAGTGGCGAGGTGCTCTACTTTGTGCTCGTCGAGCTTGACTTCAGCAACATTCAGGAGGTTGCCCGGGTCTGCAACATCGAGCTCAAGGGTGGCATCGACAAGAGCGGCTTGAAGGAGTTTGTCAAGGCCCGTGTCTATGTGATTTACGTTGAGAGTTTAAGTCCCAGCTTGAGGGTTCGCGAAGCAAACGGGCTGAATGCCCTTGACACAAATGCGGTTTGAGGTTTAAATTATATAGGGTTTAAGGGTTTAGTAAACCCTAAACCCTATATATTGATCTTTTGATGACTTAGCAAGCCATCATATCCCCTAGAAATGTTCATCCCATATGCACCATAAGGTGCTCCTTACTAGTCAACATATATGCTTCCAAGTACAGGGTTTAGGGTTTAGGGTTTAGGGTTTAGGGTTTAGGGTTTAGGGTTTAGGGTTTAGGGTTTAGGGTTTAGGGTTTAGGGTTTAGGGGGGTTTAGAGTTTAGGAGGGTTTAGGGTTTAGGGTTTAGGGTTTAGGGTTTAGGGTTTAGGGTTTAGGGTTTAGGGTTTAGGGTTGAGGCACGTAAGAGAGTCCTCCGGCAAAAGTGTGTATAAGGGTTTAGGGTTTAGGGTTTATAGGGTTTAAGGGTTTAGGGTATTAGGTTTTAGGGTCTAGGGTTCAGGGTCTAGGTTTAAGGTTTCTAAGATCGCAGTAACCGCAATTCCGAAGTTCCAGCCGCCAGGAATTCAAGGCCCTTAATTTATACACCTTCAACAACCCCCCCCCCCCCCCCCCTGAAAACAAAGAAGCCCAGAGCAGAAACTTTGAGCCCCAGAATCGAAGGAACCACCGCTTTAAACTTACACCTGAATTGGCCTGCAAGAGAAACACACCCGGAGCACTTCCAGACCCCGGACCTACATATCCCTTTAAACTCCAAACAAATTCTAATGTAATGTCTAGAACCGAAGCCCCTCGAGAGCCACTGGCATCGTCCCGGCAGGGTGGTGGCATTCTTGATGCTGGCATGAACCTCAAGCTGGTGGACTTCAACAACGGGGCTCCGTTGCAAGGAGGGGACCTCTTGAAGAAGGCTATGGGTTCTGCCGCGGTTCCCAAGAAGAAAGCCGGGAAGGCGAAACCTCCCCAGGAAGGTGATGAGGACTCGGGAAAGGCCTGCGACTTTGTGAACGCATGTAGCGTTTACATTTTACAAAACCCCTATAGGCAATGCTCATTTCTAAAGCCATGCATGTACAGGTGACGCCAGACACGCCCCTGAGCAAGGGGCAGGCCTTGCTTGGCCAACTCTTGAAAGACAAGAATGAGTGCTCGTTTTCTGATGCAAGCAGCCAGCCAAACCCAAACCCAAATGTTGTACGCGGAACACCCTTAATCGACAACATACACGCTAAGCAATGTACGTGCACTTCGTGGCCAGCCATTATAAGGACGATGGCCTTCCGACTGAAGCCGCTGGCCATGAGCAACGATTTGCGTGCCTTGGTCAATACGAACTTGTGCTGCTACAGGATTTTTTTTTCGGGCCCTCCCCCACAAACCCGCCCCCCTCTCCCCCCACGGGCCCCTTATAACCGGGCCTTACAAAGGGGTTATAAGTATACCCGAGCTCCAGTATACCCCGCATGACCCGCCTATCCTGCACCTTATCAGGAGCAATCAGTTGCCGACGCATGCAGAGATGCAGCAGCAATGCAGCTAGATGGTGGCACCGCCTGCCCACTGATTGCATTGATTTCTGCGTGGGGAAACTCCGAGCACGGCGAGCGATCCTTCCGCAGGTGTCTCGAGTAATTAGGCCCCCCCCCTCTGCCTGCCAGCGCTGAGAAACTGCAACAATATAGGGTTTAGGGTGCTTGGAGGTGCATGGTACTTATTAACCAATTGTAACTGCATGTACTTATATATCTGTACTTACAACCATATTGAATGGGCTTATAAGTGGGTTACAGTTATAATTGGTTAGTAAGTACCATGAAACTCCAAGTGTGGGAGTGCTTCTTTGCAATAGACATCTGAGGTGGTGCCACAAGCACTGTGATATTCAACCTGGACGAATCAAGCTCACATTGCGGGAAGACAAGATGGCAACACCCATGGATCACCATGTTTTATGGCCATGGGATGTCTTGCATTTCCTCTACCGGGAGAACCGACTGGAGAAGTGGGTGTACGACCCTCCCGAGCTCGCATCGGCTCGTGTCAAGGCTCTGCTTTGCTTGGAATAATATATTTGGGGATAGAACTTAAACTCCGTAAGGTCAACCCTCAAATTAGCATTTATGTTTTTTTTGCCACCTTGCTCACAGAGTGGTCACAGGAGTACTGGCAAAATGTACGACATCTGGAATTCTTCCAGAAGCTGGAACTGGAGGAAGAGGATTTTGCCACATGCATACCGATATCTTGGCACACGGATGGTGTCAAAATTTACAGATCTCAAAAGGCATGGGTCTACTCATACGCTGCTTGTACTCGCAAGGGACCCTCGCTGGAAAGCAAGCTGCTCTTTATGTTGTTTCGCGACTGTCAAATGGTGAAACCAGACACCCATGATGAGACCGGGCTACTGGTGGCATGGTGCATGGACGTATTGAGGACTGGAAATTTTCCAGAGTGCCAATATGGCGGAGCTCCATGGCCAGACGGTAGTCTGGAGGCGAAACGGGCAGGGATGCCATATGCCGGCGGGTGGAAAGCTGCCTTTGCAGCCTTCAAGGCTGATCTGGAGGCGCGGGCCATGGTGCACAAGATGGTTCGCAATTGGGCCAGCAACTCGATCTGCGAGCACTGCTTAGCATCCAAAGTGGCTGGGCTCACTTTTGGTGACTTTACCGAAACTGCGGCGTATCTTAACTACCAGCTCTCGCACGACGAATTCCTCGAGCTCAACCCGCCGGATCGACAGTCCACCTGGATTCATGTGAAAGGCTGGACGAAGGACCGAAATTTAGATGTAACTCGGCCTTACGATTTTGACCTCGAAGTGTTTTTTCTTGTGTTCGCCAGTCTGCCCAAAATATGCTCACCCCAGAAGCCAAGCTGACCGCGCACACAAGGATATGCTGCATGTGTTGCATCAGGGAATCGGCCAGCACATGGTTGCTAGCTTGGTCTGCGACCACTATGAACAGATGCACGGGCCACTGACGCTCAAACAGCTGGACAGCCTGCTGCGATTGGATGCGTGGCAACACTACAAGTCTTTCTGCCGGGCGAAAGGCAAATCTGTTGCTTCCTGCAGCATGCAATTTAACTTGTGCCGCTTTGCCCGAGAGAGTTGGCAAAGTTACCCCGAACTCGCTAGTTGTTATAAGGCTGCGGTTGTGAAGTCCATGCTGTACTGGGTTGCAACGTTTCTGGACGAAAGAAAAGATGCTGGATCGCCAAGCTCGATCTTGCGGGCGGACACTGCGTATGCAATGGCACAATTCCAATTTATACAGGACACCCACGGAGCCTGGTTTGACCTTGACACGGCCAATCAGGCAGCTGGGGCAGGTCGACGGTTTTTGGTTTTGTACCAGCAACTGGCACTTTTTGCCATGCGTGCCAACCGCAAGATCTACAGATTGACCCCAAAATTCCATTGTTTGCTACACGTCACACTTCGTCTTCCGCGTGAGAAGAGAAACCCGCGCTTCGACCATTTGTACATGGAAGAAGATTACATGCGCCACATTGGTCGGATTGCATCCCGCACCCATGCTCGGACGATGGGTTATATATGTTTGCTCCGCTACCGTGCTCTGCTCGAGATGTACGGCCTCGGAAAGTATGAGGAGTCTAAGCGTCCGCATCGCTTCTTGAAGCACTCCAGAGCCACTCAGCAAAAGATATTGCTTGAGCCTTGTTAGGGTGTTTTAGGGATTAATAGGGTTTTATTTTGTTTTCTCAACACGTGCCCCTCGATCCCGGCCTACTAAGGCACGGCGTCCATAAATGCATTTATGCCTGCTGCAAAGACGTGCAGCCCGGTTGCTCTTAAATGTTTTCTGTTTGCTATACTCTTATGTGCTTTCTTTTTAGGGTTTAGGGTTTAGGGTTTAGGGTTTAGGGTTTAGCATTCTCCTGTTTTACCCACCTTATATGTTCCAACTCCCTTTTAAAAGCCAAGGCAACGCAGGGCCGCTGGGGCCCGCGCCAGCAGATGCTCGTGCGACACGCCGGCGAAAACATCGCCGAACTTTGCCAAGAGGGGTTGGCAAACCCAAGCCTAAAATCCAAATAGCCTTAAGTATGCTCTTAAGGTATATCTTATTTTTTTTTGCACCGGCCCCTTTAAGGCTTTAAACAACCCATGAACCCGGTAACGTACCATTCAGGGTGTCGAGGTTTGGACGTCCTTGTTTCAAGGTCTTTAAGGTTTTTGGGGTTTTGGGAAGCCCTATACTTAAACCCTAAACCCAAAAAGCCCAAACCCTAAGCCCTATAAACCCCACACCCTTAAAAACCGTAAGCCCCAACCCTAAACCCGAAACCCCAAACTCCCAACCCTAAACCCCAATCCTAAACACCAAACCCAAACCCATCCTTTCTTCTCGGGAGCCCGTTGCCCAAAATCTATGTGCAGCGCCCCTTGCCGGGCCGGTGCTCAGGGGTTTAGGGTTTAGGGTTTAGGGTTTAGGGTTTAGGGTTTAGGGTTATAGGGTTCAGGGTTATAGGGTACATATATAGGGTTATAGGGTTATAGGGTTATAGGGTTTAAAGGGTTCAAGGGTTTTTTCGGGTTGTATGGTTTAAGGGTGCCAGGTTTTTTTTTGAAGGCCTAAAGCCTCAAACGGAAGCTTCAATGCATGCAGTGTCAACTGCAGGCCCGTGGCAAGGCATCCATACAGCCTCATAATCCTTGAACATATCGGTTTGGTGACATGGATCGCCTGCCCGATCCTCCGCACTCAATAGAAGCTCGGAGGCTATGATGTGTTGACCCTCCCACAGAAAAGAATTTCAGGGCCTGTAGTCCTCAGCAGGGTTTTTTTATGCAAAAGTTACATGTTTGTAGGTTTGTTTCCCGACACCTCCCTTTTTTTGCACATGCACATATTTTACATGCAGCATGCCTATGCTGGCATATTCTCGCGCGGCCACGCAAAATCCTCGTTCGCGCGACCATGTAAAGCTCTCGCGTGAATGCTGAATAATGGCCACTTCGGGCTGTGTAGGGAGGCCCACATTACGCCATCCAGATTTCCAAGGGCCGCATCACCCGCCAAAGAGTTTCAGGCGCCGCCCCGAACTTCTGCAGAGGTGCGGAGTTGTATGCAAGCACTGCTGCCTGCAATCTCTCCCGGACCCCTCCGTGAGCATAGTCAAGCACACGATTCATGCACTCCGTCAAGCCGTTACTCTGCGGATGACCCGGCGGGATCGTCCGGTTGCGAAGGCCAATCGCCCGCTTGAGTGCCTGATGGCCAGGAATGCTTATTTCACAGAGACAAAAAGCAATATTTTGTACTACATTTGATACTCAAGGGTTAGGCCATAGAACTTGACGCAACCTTGCCTCGGAGATGACGCTGGTAAACTGAGAGCCGTTGTCAGAGTGAACGCAGATGGGAAGGTCGAAGTCTTGGAAATATCTGCGTTGTTGGGTTCTGCCAGGCTGAGGGCTGCAGGGCTCTTTTCGTGGAGGTTCACCAGTACTTTGAAAGGCCTTGGGTTAGGGCTTCGGGCTTTTGGGTTTAGGGTTTAGCTCTTTTCGTGGAGGTTCGCCAGTACTTTGAAAGTCTTCAGGGCTTCGGGCTTTTGGGTTTAGGGTTTAGGGTGGGTTTGAGAGTGCCTGATCAAGACTCCCTGGACGTTTCCGACGGTTGCGGTGCCATCATCGAGTGACCAAGCAGAAACACGCCGCGTGGCAAAGTCCACGCAGACGAGCATGCACCAGCGAGGGGAGGTATCGTGCGGGGTCACTCTCTTGAGGTCCACGCCGACCACCTGACCTGCTAGTCCTGGTGTCGGTAGGTGTCGTGACTGTGGCCTGATGCACTGCCTCGTTGTTCTGGCGCGACACTGCTCGCACCTTGCGACGCACCAGGAAGCGTCCAAGGAAATATTGCACCAGTTCAGACCTTCGCATTTCAGAGCCGAAACGATGCCAGCACGTCCTCTGAGGTGGCACAGGTCAAGGTGTGCTTGGTAGAGGTAGTTGATCTTGTCGGGCACTGAGATGCCGCTGCTGTCGGGCTGCATACGCAGCGCAGTCCAGTCTGCACGGCCCATCGTAGCTTGCGCAGCCTGGTACGCTTTGAGGTCGGTTGACGGGAGCACGTCGTCGTCAGCCGCCATGATGAAGCGCACGGCCGTAGCCTTGTCAGCATCTCGAGCCCAGAGTGACTCTTCGGCACCCGTTCCATGCTGGCCGGTGTGGTTGTTGACAAAGTCATCCTGGCTCTGCTGCAGCCTCGTGCGACAGCAGTCCTTGCAAGTGCTGCCGATTTTCAGTGGCTTTTGCCACTGGGACTTGGCGAAGCATTCCTTCGGTTTGTCTTCCTGACAGACGACGCAGACTTTGGAGGTAGTAGCCTGGCTGGCGCAAGTGCAGTCCTTGCACTTGCGCGTGCTATCTGGCTGTTGCCACTGCGAGACGGTGAAGTTGCCAGACCCCCGTAAAGCACCGCAGGCACTGCAGAGCTTTTCTTTCTTCGGCTGGGAGTCTTTCCCGCGCGCAGCTGCCACAGAAGCTGCAGCAGTGCAGGACGTACACTTACCAGCTTCGCCCAAGGCCCACTGCGAGGTGCTGTACTTGTCTCTCGGCATGTCGGTTTTGCAGACGGAGCAGACGCGAGAAGCCTTGACTCTCTTTCGAAGTTTTTCGTCGACTGGCTTGCATGCGAGACACACTGGCTCCTGGTAGGGTGCTTGCAGCAGGGGACTGAGTATGCAGGGTAAAGTTGCTTAAGGGTTCAGCAATGTTCAGGGATATTGAGGTTAGTATGGCGTCAAGTCCGCTCCTTGGAAGGCCACACAGAAGCCGCGTAGAGTGCACGGTCCTTTACTTGCTCGCAAGTAGCGCACTTCTTGCTGGTTACAGGCTGGTCCGGGAAGCGTTTCTGGAGCTCTTGGGCCAGCAAGCGCTTCACGTCCTGTGTTCAGGGTTTAGGGTTGAGGGTTCAGGGTGTAGGGTTGAGGACTTATAGTGTCGGGTTTAGGGTTCAGGGTTCAGGAAACCTCGTTAGCGGCTACGCCTTTCATTTAAATTCCCCTCCTGAGCTGTCAGACTCTGACCATTAGCTGGCGCAGGAGCAGGTGCAGGAGCAGCTGCAGACACTGCAGGTGGTACAGGCAGAGCTCCAGGAGCAGGTGCAGCAGCAACTGCAGGAGCAGCTGCTTCAGCAACTGGCTCAAGAAGTTCTGGACGGTCTGGAAGGCGCCTGACGCGTTGCCAAGCTTTCTCGAGAGTGAGGTTCTCGTAGTAGGTCTGGTTGGGCCGTCTGGCAAGAAAGCGACCAGACAAAGCCTTCTTTGCATCTTCGAGTGACACATGTGGCCGCGTTTCGAGGAAGACACGGCACATTGCCCAATCTTTCGCCGAGTTGTCTGACACGGGAGGTCTGGCCGCGGGCAGGCTTCCGACAGCCACTTTGTCCTGCACAGGGTCAAACCGGAGCTTCGGGGTAGGCGTCATGCTCAAGTATGTCGCCTCGTCCATGTGCTGTGTTTCGGCCAGCACGAGCTCCACTATGTCACCTTTGTCTGGCTTCACATTGGTACTGCCCGGTAAGCGTCCTTGCTGGGAGCTTGTGCAGGCATTCATGTCGCCTTGCAAAGAGGCTGTCAGCTCACGTGCCACAACCAGACTGGACTTAGCCCTCATGGAGTCGGAGAGAGTGAGCCACAACTGGAAGTTACTGGGAGCACTGGTTTTCGTCAATGCTCTCGGTTTGAGTGCCACGAGCTTGTCCAGCGGCACGTTGCAGCAGTCCAAATCAACCAGCACCAAGGTTGAAAGCTGCGGTCTCACGAAAAAGTGGGTCTGTGGCTGTCTCAGCCAACGCTCCACATTAGCTCGGAGTGCGTTTCTTGGCAGAGCCGGTCGTTGTACGATGGCTCGGCTCTTGTCCTCGCAGATTTTCGGCCATGCAACCGAAAACCCCAAGCACTGCTGAAAGTAGACTTCGCTTCACATTGGCACTGGCCAAAGGGGGGGGGGGGTGCAAAACCCTCAACCCTAAAGTTTGAAACCCTAAACCCTCAACACCCTAAACCAAGGAAGCCTAAACCTAAACCCCAAACGAAACCCCCAACCACACCACAGGGGGGGGGGGGTGGCTGAGCAAAATAGGGTCTATTTAGAAGCTACCGCCTGGGATTATTAATCAATTTTAGCATATCCAAGACAACCCAGCTACTTCTCCAACAACGTCTCACGCATATGCGCACTTAGACAACTCATTTCGGACTGATAAATGTTTTGGCTCTTGCAATCTCAGACCCTAAGCCCGGAACCCTGACCACAAATTCGTACACTCTAAAACCCTACACAAGAAACTCTATACCGTATTTCCTAAATTTAAACTCTAACTCCTAAACCCAGAATCTAGAAGAAAAGGAGGAAAAAGAAAGAATCATGTGCAGACGTTCCTGTGTTCCTATCTTCGGAGTTCTTCTATTCCTATCTCTGCTGATTTTTCAGAATGGAAGGAGGGCTTCATTTTCCCTCTCACTTTTCCTTTCACTTTTCTTTTCTCACTCCAAGCAGAAGGGAGAAGACAAGGGAGAGAGGTGAGAGATAGAGAGCACCTTACAGCTCAATAAATAGAAAGGTGACCAAAATGGATGAAAAGATCGCCTGCTTTCATTTCTAAACGGCCTGTCCCCGCCTTCTTTTCTTTGCACAGTGCAGACATAAATAAACACGAAAGAAGAAAGAGGGCCTTTCCCTACTATTTCCTTCGCTATCCTGGAATCCTGGTTCGGAAAAGAAAGGAACAGCTACCAGCCCCCCTCCCGACTTTCATCTTTCCATTTCTTTGTTTCGTCACGCTCAAACGGACAGAAGAAGGGCGGCCTCTAGTGTTTCCTCGCCTCCTTCTGCACTGCTATAACTTCCTTTCTTTTCTCTTCTGTTGCTTTGTGTGACAGGTGCGGGGGCATTTCTTTCACTTTTCCCATCGAAGAAAGGCTCCCTTCCTATCCGCATATTTTCTTTTCTCTTCCTTCCGAAAAAGACTATAAGAGGCAGGGATAAACAGAATGAAAGAGGAGTCTCCTTTTGCTTTCCGACTACCTTCTCACCAAAAAAAGGAACCCTTCTCTTTCTTCCCTTGACTTTCTTTTATCTTGTTTGCATTCTACGTTTCCCACTAAGAAAATGAGACAATGATGAAGATAAGTGAAGAAAGATCACCTGCCTGCACGCAGGTTCTCGGGAGCTTGTCTCGACCGGGCTGTCCCTCCTTTCCCCGCACCGCTTGTCCCCATTGATCTCTCGCGTCTCTTCCCTTTGCACTCTCTCGCCTCTGGCCCGCCTTCCATGCTGAAAATGCTGAAGAGATACGAAAAGAAGAGCTCATGATTCTTTCTCATTTCTTCTTCTTTATCATTCCCATATGAGTAAAGAAGAAAGATTAGGAGAGAGAGCCCTGCGGCAATTCCTGTTTTGGGCGGAAGAAAAGAAATAAAGAGATAATAAGAGAGAAGAACGAATAAGAAGGTGCCGGGAACGAAGATGGAAACTGCTCCTTCACCCTGGTCTATCGCTTCCTTTTCGAATTTTTTCGGAAGGAAGATCGAAGAAGATAGTGGGGAAAAAGGAGTGAAGTGCCCGTAGAAGGGAGAAAGTGAAAGGGATGCCCCCGCAACTTTCATATTTTGATAAGAATGCAAGCGCCAGCAGAGAAGAAAGGAAGAGAGAATAACGAGGAAAGAGCGGAAACCGAGGAGATTAGGAGCCAGGTTTCCCTGATTGATTCTCGTCACTTTTCTCTGTTTTGGGAAGGTAAAGGGCTTTATATCTCCCACCTCTCTCCCTTGTCTTTTTGGTTGGAGTGAGAAAATATAAAGAAAAGCGAAAGGAAAAGTGAGAGGGAGAAAGAAGCCCTCCTTCCATTCTGAAAAATCTACAGATTTAGAGACAGGAATAGGGGACAATATGGAAATGATTCTTTCTTGTTTCTTCACGTTGTCTCCTTTCCCTATATGACTCCCTTGCGATTTCCCTTTTGGTTGGAGTGAGAAGAGACAAAAGAAAAGTGAAAGGAAAAGTGAGAAGGAGAAAGGACGCAGAGATAGGAATAGAAAAACTCAGAAGAGACACAGTCTCAGACAAGATAATTTGCTGACTTGTGATTGCGTGGCTGCCTTGGCAAGAGTTGTTGCTGGAATGGCTTTTGGGAAGAAAGTCGGAGGTGCACTTTTCGATCCAGGCGTGTTTCGCGAGCCGCAGCTTCTGGCCTCCTCTTGCTTGGGCGTGGCCAAGCGCCAGGGAGCAGAAATGCTGCGTTTTTCAAGTTTCAAATTCGTTTCTGTAGTTTCAGACTAGTTGCAATAGTTTCAAAATCCAGTTGCAAAATCGTTGTTAAGGGGAAACTGCGTTTTTCTACGCGCAATTGCAAAACATGCAGAAGTTCTGGTTTTCAACAAGCGCGGACAGAAATTGCAGCTCCTCCTTAACAGCGATATTTCAACTGGATTTTGAAACTAGTTTGAAACTGACTTGAGACTAATTTGAAACTATGGAAACGATTTTGAAACTCGAAACACTACCATATTCCGGACTTTCTGCCCCCCTCCTGGCCCCTCACATATGGCCCTCACGCACGGGAAGTTGACTTTGGTCAGGCGTGACTAAAGACCAGAGCTTCCGAAAGCTTGCCAATCTCCGGACAGTAGGAATAGAGGAATGTGTGGAAATGATTCTTTCCTAGTTCTTCATCTTCTTTCTCCTTTCCCTATGTATGAGAAAAGAAGACAGACAAGGAGAGAGCCCCCTGCAATTAGGAATTTCCCCAGAAGAGAAAGCGAAAGGGATGCCCCCGCAACTTTCACGTTTTTGAGAAGAATGTAAGCACCAAAAGAGAAGAGAAAGGAAAAGAGAATAGCGAGGAAAGAGGCAAGGAAACACAGGAGGCAGCCCCTCCGCTTGCTTCTTGAATGAAAAAGACATCGGAGAAATGGAAACATGAAATTGAGAGGGAAGTTGCGCTTTTCCGTGCTGAAGAACAAAGCAATTCCAAAGAACATGGAAAGCACAAGGAATGTACTGGAAAAGGTAGGGAAAGGGATTCTTCCCTCTGACTTTTTTGCTTTCCTTCAATCTGCGATGTAAAGGGAAAAGATGCAGCGGACAGGTTTGAAAATACAGGCAGGTGATCTTTTTTCCTTATTGTCATCATTGTCTCTTTTTCTCAGTGGGAAACGTCTCATTTTCTCAGCGGGAAACGTAAAGTGCAAAAAGATAAAAGAAAGAAAGTAGGGAAGAGTTGGAAGGTTCCTTTTTGTGGTGAGAAGGTAGTCGGAAAGCAACAGGAGACTCCTCTTTCATTCTGTTTATCCCTACCTCTTATAGTCTTTTTGGGAAGCAAGACGGAAGAACATACGCGGATAGGAAGGCAGCCTTTCTTTGATGGGGAAAAGGAAAGGGATGCACTGCCCCCTCAATTTTCATGTTGATAAGAATGTAAGCACCAGGAGAGAAGAAAGGAAGAGAGAATAGCGAGGAAAGAGGCAAGGAAACACATGAGATTAGGAGTCAGGTTCCGGTGATTGATGTTAGATATTCGTCTCTTGTCTTCTTTTTGAGAAGGTCGCTTTTGGTTGGAGGAAGAAGTCCGCCTTCATAAAAAAAAGCGAAAGGAAAAGTGAGAGGGAGAAAGAAGCCCTCCTTCCATTCTGAAAAATCTGCAGATTTAGAGACAGGAATAGGGGACAATATGGAAATGATTCTTTCTTATTTCTTCACGTTGTCTCCTTTCCCTATATGACTCCCTTGCGATTTCCCTTTTGGTTGGAGTGAGAAGAGACAAAAGAAAAGTGAAAGGACAAGTGAGAAGAAGAAAGGATGCAGAGAAAGGAATAGAACAACTCAGAAGAGACACAGTCTCAGACAAGATAATTTACTGACTTGTGATTGCGTGGCTGCCTTGGCAAGAGTTGTTGCTGGTTTCGCGAGCCGCGGCTTCTAGCCTCCTCTTGCTTGGGCGTGGCCAAGCGCCAGGGAGCAGAAATGCTGCGTTCTTCAAGTTTCAAATTCGTTTCTGTAGTTTCAGACTAGTTGCAAAACAGTTTCAAAATCCAGTTGCGAATTCGTTGTTAAGGGGAAACTGCGTTTTTCTACGCGCAATTGCAAAAAATGCAGGAATCTCTAGAGGTTCTGGTTTTCAACAAGCGCGGACAGAAATTGCAGCTCCTCCTTAACAGCGATATTTCAACTGGATTTTGAAACTAGTTTGAAACTGACTTGAGACTAATTTGAAACTATGGAAACGATTTTGAAACTCGAAACACTACCATATTCCGGACTTTCTGCCCCCCTCCTGGCCCCTCACATATGGCCCTCACGCACGGGAAGTTGACTTTGGTCAGGCGTGACTAGAGACCAGAGCTTCCGAAAGCTTGCCAATCTCCGGACAGTAGGAATAGAGGAATGTGTGGAAATGATTCTTTCCTAGTTCTTCATCTTCTTTCTCCTTTCCCTATGTATGAGAAAAGAAGACAGACAAGGAGAGAGAGCCCCCTGCAATTGGGAATTTCCCCAGAAGAGAGAAAGCGAAAGGGATGCCCCCACAACTTTCACGTTTTTCATAAGAATGTAAGCACCAAGAGAGAAGAGAAGGGAAAAGAGAATAGCGAGGAAAGAGGCAAGGAAACACAGGAGGCAGCCCCTCCGCTTGCTTCTTGAGTGAAAAAGACATCGGAGAAATGGAAACATGAAATTGAGAGGGAAGTTGCGCTTTTCCTTGCTGAAGAACAAAGCAATTCCAAAGAACATGGAAAGCACAAGGAATGAACTGGGAAAGGTAGGGAAAGGGATTCTTCCCTTTTTTTGCTTTCCTTCAATCTGCGATGTAAAGGGAAAAGA